TTAGGCGACGCTTGTTGTAGACTGGCATAGTGTTTACGGAAATAAATACCATTTTATACACATGCCCAGATCGATTCACCAGCAGCCAGTCATCGCCAGCAGCAGCGAGCCATCGCCAGCAGAGAGATGTCACTGCAGCAAAACACTATTGTACCAACGCTGTTCTAATAATATATAGACAATGGGTCGTGCTCATATTATTTGTTATATTTTTATTATTCATTAGCATAAATAATTTTGTTCGAAGAACATTTTATGCAGTTGTACTTCGCAGCACTTCACTTGCAATTTGCAATTTCTAGTTCTATTATATTTTATTGAACTATAATATGTCTTCCCTCTTTTTTTCACCAATCATTTTTGTCATTTCAAATATCCTATTTTTATTTCTCGGTGCAGGTGAAGGTAACAAGTGTGGAGGTAAAATGGCAGACAAGAGGGATTTTATTGAGCGAGTCTGTCAATGATGATGAGTTATTTAAAGTACCTGAAAAGATTATTCAGGGCAATAAGCTGAAAGAGTGAGTTGCAATCTTTTGTAATTTTGTGGAAGTGCTTTGCCACAGCAGTAACGGTTTGGTTTGCCAACCTTCTGGGCGGGGTTTCAACCTTCCTGTGCACTTTGCTTATGTCCCTGAGAAGACAATTTGTCTGTGTGACTTTTTCTTCACCCAGTAGTATAAATGGGTACCTGATGGGGTGACTTGCTTCTGTCCCAATATGGCAGAAACACTCCAGCATAAGCACCCAAGGAACAGGGAAAACCTAAAGGAAATATATCCCCCGTCCTTGAATCCCCACTGATCTTGTTTATTCTACTTTAGGTTACAGGTTTTACGACACTTCAAGCATGCCAGTTTACAAATCGGAGATAGAGCTATGTATAAAATAACAACTGACCAGGTTATACACCCTCAGCATGTTGCGCTAGGCTCCCTCTACTGCTTCAAGCAGCCTGAGCCTTCTCAGAAGGCTGGTGGAAGACAGTCACAAAAACAACACTCTTCTGGTGTGGAGAGATCTACTGAAAGTGTTCCATCCTCAAATGAAGAAAGAGTGGAACTAACTGAAAAAGTAGAGAAATCTGAAGCGTTAAAACTTGAAGGCGATCAGGAATTAACTTCAGAAAATCTTGATGAGAACATTGATGTTGGAAAAGATGATAACAAAAGAACATTTAACTCTCAAGAAGCAAATGAAAAAGAGGGAACATTAATTTCTGGGGAACATGATGTGTCTGCGATGGAGAAAAATGATGAAGAAAAGTGCGCAGAAGCCAGTGCTAATGTCAGGGAAACGTCAGTTCAAATGAGTGATGGTAAAGTAGTTAATATAGACTTGGAATTACTATGTGAAATACATCGGCAACTTCTCGAAGCCTCTGATGATATTGCCAAGATAGGCGGTTGCTTCAAACCACTGATCAGCAATGAAAGTGGGGAGGCTGCCGAACACATGGAACAGCATATTGTCAGACTATTGCAATCAAGAAATGAACTTCATGAGCAAATTGCATTAGTAGAGGGACTGATAAACGGTATGAATGAAACGCCGATTGAGGTGAAAGAGAAAGATTCCTTTAGGAAGGCTGCAGAAGGACATCACCTGAAGACCAGTGCGGCTAGGATGCCGAAGTTGAGACCTGGACGCAATAAGAAGCAGCCAGTGACAGCAGGTGAAGAGGTGTGTGTAGAAGTGACTCATACCTCAACAGTTGTTGATGTTACTTGGCAGGTGAGGTTAATTTACTTTTTCGTTCATCATCACCTCCAATATTACCCTTGAAAAATACAGATTCCAGTCAACTCACCCCTAGAACACATGCCACTTGCAATCTCACCCCCTACAAACACCCCCCCCCCTTAACAAACTTACAAAGTCATTTGTTAATGCGCAAGTTTGTTAGTGGCAGGGGCGATGCCCCGGGGAGGCAAAGGACCCTCGTCGGAGAACTCTGGACACCCCACTTGGATCCCACTGTCGGAAAACTTTCAGCAAGGTTGTCGGGGAAAGTATAATTCAAATGTCTTACTAAGCTGTCAAAATTTTAAGGATTAAAAACTGTTTAATGTGAGCAGTGCTACCGTATGTGCGAGGTGTACTATTGCAATCGTATGGGTTGCAGTGGTGTGCCAGCTCTTCTTCGACAGGTAGCTGGTACCTCCGATGGGGGAGGGGCTAAGCTTCCTTACTGGGGCGTGG